ATTATAGTGGGTTGTTCCAATGCAGTGAGGCCATCATCAGAAATGAGGAGCATTATAATGGGTTGTTCCAATGCAGTGAGGCCGTCATCAGAAATGAGGAACATTATAATGGGTTGTTCCAATGCAGTGAGGCCGTCATCAGAAATGAGGAACATTATAATGGGTTATTCCAATGCAGTGAGGCCGTTAGTTTCTCTTGGTGGAAAAAAGCATAATCTTGACATTTCACAGTCAAAAGCTGTTCTCCTCTGGGATTTGCCTTAAAATAGGAAGGTGCAACGGGGTGAGTCTAAGAAATGTGGGAGGGTGGTCTCCCTCTGAGGAGCAAGCCAGGCTGTCCCGACAATTCCCATTCAAGAACAGAGGCTTCTGTTATCACTGCCGATGGGGCCTAATAAAAAAGCCTCTGGGCAAAAGGCTGAGACTTATAGTGAAATAAAAGAAGTTTATTCAAGTGTGGGACAAAGCTAGAGCGTGTACAGGTAGCGATGTGGGGGAGCCCGAGGTCAGCACTGAGATCCCTGGTGGACGTGCTTGGGGACTTGTTCAAGTTTCCCGCGGATGCGTGGCTCTTCTTTGGGACAAAGTTTCATTTCACCTGTGGGCTTAGTTCTTTAGTGTTTTTGTACAGACCAAACTGGCTAAAACCCCAGCAGAGCAGGACCAGAGCCCAGAGCCACTTAGCACACTCGGGCTGTTCCCAGCTCCGCAAACACCATTCCCGGCATTCAGCCACCCCCAACACCAAACGTCTGCGGAGATCCGTCCCACCCTCACCTCTCAAAGGGTCAAACGCTTGCTGTGCTGATAAATTCCTCTCTGTCGCCCTGTTCTTTCTGCAATAACAACTTTAAAATAGCAAGTTGTTTATAAACAACCCTCCAAGCTCACCAGGAGTCCTGACGTTCGGTGTTCAGAATCGGGTTTCTTGCTTCCCACTAGCCAGCCAAGGTCCCATGGTACTCAGGTGCCAGCAGGAGAAAATTTATAGGGGCCCGAGCCAGGGAGTCAGAGTTTCCCGGGGATGGGCCTCACCTGTGTGATGTCACAAGGGCTGCAGGGAGCTAGAGCTCCAAGCTGAGCAGCCCCTCCCTGCAGAAGCCAAGGGCGCCCCTGCAAGACCCCTGTGCGAGGCTAAGGCAGACCTGGGCCCCCCACTGTCGCTGACCCTGCCACTGTCCGCCCCCATCCCTAACAGCAACCTGGCCTGAAGCCCCTCCTCCCTGGTTCCTGGGTCCCCTGGGCTTTGTCTCTAGGAGGCCTCCGTGAGAGCATGTGTTCAGCACACCCAGCAGTGGGTCCAGGCAGAGAAGAGAGCCAGGGGGGCTGAGAACGGGAAGGACCCTCAGCTGGGAAAGTGCAGACGCACACAGAGCTTCCATGGGGGTTAAAGGGGCTCGCGGACCTTGAGAAAGCACACCTGTGCCTCGTGGCAAGAAAGACACATGTCCCAGCCCTGGGAGCCTGGGGTCTGGGGAAGGGCTTCCGGTGAGACGGGCACAGCTGAGCACCTGCCTGACACACGTGGCCACACCTGACACACATGGCCACACCTGACACACGAGGGGCACAGGTGATCACACTCATCATCACACCACCCTGCAGAGCGCTGTTATCACAGATGGAGAAACTGAGGCCCAAGGTTATTCCAGGGAGCCTAAGTCGTAAGCGGCTGAACCGAGCAGGGATTCAGAGCAGCAGGTGTGCTGGAGCGAGGGGTCCTCTGATGCCTGGAGGGGTTTCCTGCCTCGGGAACCCCTCCCACTTTCCTTCCTGGGTTCTCTTTACCGGGTCTTGGCCTGCCCTGCTCCCCCCTGCACCTCCAGTCCTCCGGGATGAAACCAAACCGTCGGGAGAGGCTGCCCCCATCCCCTTCCAGAACCTGCCTGGCCCTCCCCCATTCGGCTCCCACTGGACCCTCTGGTCTCAGGGGGCACATATCTCCCCTTCCAGATGAAATTCTTAAGAACAAAACTCGTCCGTTACTGTTTAAAGTCCCTAAGTTTGGCGGTGGTTTAAGCTACCTGATATGCTCTGCTTGGGATACCCCATCCTTGTGAAGCAGAGTTTCCCTCCCGCCATCAACACTGCAAACGGCAAGCTTTCCCAGCCTTCCTCATATCTAGGGCACAGACACATACAAAGCCACTGTGTGCGGAATGTTCTCGGTGTGGTGCCTCTGGATCTGTGCAGTGCACAACCTGGGCAGACACACATAATTGGCCTGGAGATCTAGGTACCCAGACAGGCTCAATCCCAATGCTGAATGTGGAGCTCGGCGTGGGCGTGCAGGGCAGTTGCTCCTGTCTGCAGCCAGCTACCGGCAGAGGGACCCTGCAGGCCCTGCATGGTGTATGGGCTTTTCTCCCTTCCGTGTAGCACCCAAGACATTCTCCAGTCTTTCCAAAATTCCTTTGAACTGCCAAAAAGCTTTCAACAATTCCCTTTCTGCTTAAATTAGCCAGACTCAGATTTTTTTGCTTACAGCTAAGAAATGCCACCTGCCCTTGGTTCTGATCTGCTAGATTAAACGGGGTTACCCCTGGTGACCACTCCTGGGCCCTCGCCTGCCACCGCCCCCAAGGAAGCAGGTGGGCGCCGTCCAGACCCCCAGGGCGGCAGACGCGGAAGCCAGTTTGTCAAGTCTGGGTGAGGCAGGAACCGACAGACAGAGGCTGCCCCGGGGAAAAGAAGGCGTTGAGCCGCCGCCAGAGAGGAGACACCCTCTTGCCATTCTCGCTGCAGCCCCCCGAAACCCCGCTCGTCCCCCGTGCTGCAGGGGCACCGGGCCCAGGGCGAGGAGTGGAAGCCCATGCTAGAGCTCGCCGTGACCCCTACGGTCAGAAGACCAATGCTTTTCCCGACTCCTCTGTTTGTCAGGTCTCCATGTCTGCCGCCACCTGGGGTCACACTCAGGCCTCGATGAGAAGCCACACGGAGCATGGCTGAGTGTTCCCTGAAGGGTCTGGCACTGCTGGGTCTGGGGGGGCCCTCCTCCCCTCCCTGCTGCCCTTTGTCCCTTTGTTCTTCTGCATCTGTCTCCCTTCTCCGTTTCTGACTGATCCCCACTCTCTCAATACCTCTGTCTCTCACATACACACGCGCGCGCATGCATACACACACACACACACACACACACACACACACACGAACCCCCAGAGCCTCAGTGTGGCGGGCAGCCTAGGGGGCCCGGGACCCCTGCAGCATCGTCTCGCGGGTGCACGTCCCCCCGCGGCCGCTGGGTGGCAGTGTGGACGCGCGGGTACGCCGCCGCCGCCCATCCTCTTCGCCCACGCTGCACCCGGGGCTCAGAGAGGTGCCCGCGCACCAGCTTTCCGGTCACGCCTCGATGCAGCACCTAATAAATCCCGGTTCTCCCCTCAACCAGACCGCCTCCCTCCTGCGCTGCAAATCAGCGGCCGCGGCCCACCCCGCGGGCCCTTCCTGCCGAGCTGGGGGATTCAATTAGCGGCTGTGCTTCTGGCCTCCTGCCGGCTGCGCCTGTCCTATCAAATTGTCTTTGACACCGTCACAGCCCTGTAGAGGTGTGTGACCCAGGCACAGACAAAGGCCGGCGTGCTTTCCTGCGCTTCGTGCTGGCACAGAGCCTCGGAGGCGGGCTCATCGGAGGCGGCGACAGGAGGGGACGTGGATCGGCTCCCTCTGGTTTCACCTGAGAGCCGAGGCGACACGAGAGCACAAAAGTGGCCCCATCCCAACTCCTCCCCTACCAGGGACGAATCCAGACCCAGGGAGGCGCCGGCTTGCCCTGGGCTGCCCTTGACCCCGGTGAAGAGCCCGGAGGGGTGGGGCACACCTGACCCACCCTAGGGCCAGGGCAGCTCTGTCCAGGTGACCGAGGGCAGTCGCATGGGCCGAGGCCGTCGTGGTGATGCTGGGGAAGCTCCGGCTTCAGGACGCCCTGCCCAACTGCAGTCACCACCTGGTCAGTTCCCTTGCACAGGCCCCTGGGACTGGATCTGCCTGTCCTGTGAGGGGCAGGCACCTGGGCCAGCTCAAGGTCATGGGCCCTGGGCTGTGAGCAGGGGTGCCTGGCTGCCCCACAGGCCCGTGGGTGCAGCGGGGGTCCCGCAGATACCCGGAGCAGAGCCGCTGCCTTGGCCCCTGTGGCACCTACAGCAATAGCACCGGGGCCTGAGCTCCAGTCTGCAGGGCACAAAGAGGACCAGCCCCTGGGGAAGAAGCCAGCGGCACCTTCACCGCGCTGGGCTCTCACCGCGCCAGCAGCTCTAGGCAGACGCTCCCCTTCCTCCAAAACAGTCGCTACACAAACACCCTGCAGGCGCGGTCCAGAACGTCGGGCAGCCGGGGCCTCGCTCCCGAGACACGCAGACACACAAGAGGCCCTGGAGAGCGGTGTCCCCGGAGCCCCCTTCTGGCTCCCAGCCCCAGCTGTTTTCCTTTGTGGGTGCGTGACTGCCTGTTTTCTTTGAAAAATGAAGATGTTTATTATGTTTTACTGGGGATTCTGATGTACAAAAGGAAGAACCGTGGGTGACGGGCAGGCAGCTTCTGGGATGGCCCCCAGCGGTCCCGTCTCCAGGAGTCCCCTCCCCAAGTTCAGGCTGGACCTGGGGACAGGCTTCTGAGACCAGAACGCAGACAGTGATGGGGGGGTCGCTTCCCAGGATGCGCGCACGCTCGCACTGCTCTGAGGTGGCCAGCGGTCCTTGGGGAGGTGCCCAGGGCAGAGGTGCCCGGCAAGGAACCCAGGCCTCCATCCAGCCACCCGTGTGGCACTGAATGCCACCAGCAACCTCACGGTCAAGTGTGGCTGGTGAAACAGAGCCACCCCCCCCCCCCCCCCACAGCCGAGCTCTGGGTGAAGTCCCGCCCCACAGGACCTGCGGGGACGTTGATGCTTTGTCGTGAGTCGCTGTTTGGGGGTGACCGCGATACAGGAATAGATAACGCATACCGCTAGAGAAGACACTGAGAGAACAACATTCAGTTGTCAAATTCGGAGCATTTACTTTTCTTTTTCCTGAAATCCGCAGCAAAGCAAAATTGTTTCTACTTTTACAGAAGCACTGATCTGAGCTAAGAGGATTCTTTTCCATATAGAAATTAAAAGGAAGGTAGTCATTTAAGACCCCTCTACCATTGTTTGTACTTAACTGTTATAACATTTAAAGATCTCGTTTCATACTTTGCACAAAGCCAAAGGCGATTCTGAGTAATTACATAACGAACATTTTGTCTACACTACAAATAATAAAACTCTAGTTCTTCAGACATAATACCCAGAAACACGTTTTTTTTTCCTTCTTTTTCGCCCAAGCATGCACCATTCTCTAAGATTCAGAAAAGGAGCCTTTACCGGGGACCCCGCACTCCTGCTTGGGGACCACGTGGCGGGCAGAGCCTCCCACCCATGGTGGCAGCCGGCAGCCACCCGGTGGCGGAGGGGCCGCCGATGCTGGAGCAGCAGGGCCCCCGCTACACGTGCTCCTTGTCGAACTCGCAGAGGAAGTGCATGGTGAGGTGGCAGGCCACGTCGTTCCAGCCCCCGGAAGCCACCAGCTCCACGCAATCCTCGTCGTCATAGGCGTTGTTGGGCTCCCCGCTGCGCCACTGGCTGAAGGTCTGCATGGGCGAGCGGTCCGCGTAGACAAAGGTGCCCTCCCGCTCCAGGTCGTTGATGCCGATGAAGACGCGGGCCAGGCCGGCCTGCGCGATGTAGGCGGCCAGCAGCCCGTTGGCGGCCTCATCCTTGGGCATGCCCAGCGCGCCGCCCCGGCCCTGGCAGGCCAGCTGTGCATCCACGTACCGCTTCTCCTCCTTCACCAGCAGGTAGATCTTCTGCTCCGTCTCGCGCACGCCGGCGACGGCTGCGGGGACAGGGCTGGAGGGCGAGCGCTCGCGGGTCCCCAGCAAACCCGGGGCGCCAACCCAGCACGTGCGCACGGGGAGCAGACCCAGGGCCGCTCTGCCTCCGGGCAGGGGTCGGGGGGACACGGGAGCAGGGAAGCCCCGAGAAGCACGTACCGTGTTTGATGAACTTCAGCTCCGCTGTGATCTGCGCGACCTGGTTGTCTGTCTCCCCGACGGCCTTCCTCAGCTGGCCGCACTCACACGGGATGCCTGCGGAGACCGCGCCCGGCGTGTGATGGGACTGACCCGGAGGCGGGCTCGGGAGGGGGTACCCCCTCCCCCGCATGCTAGGCGATTCAAAACACGAAGGCCTTTGAGGCTGCATGTAGATTTCAGACGTGATCCTAAAGGCAGGGAGCAGTGGAAGGGTTTCCACAGGGGCACCAAGGTCGGGTTCACGTTTCACAATCTCGCTCTGGTCGCTTAGGAGGAGCTCAGTGGAGGTATGGCGGCGAGAGCAGGGGGTTAGGACAGTCACCTCGGGAAGACTGCGGGCAGTGACAGCGCGGCAGGAGAGACGACAGGACGTTTGAGCAAAGTGGTGGAGCTGGAACCGTGGGGTGATGTTCAGTCATCCCAGCATGGCCAACCCTGCCTCAGCTCAGGTGTTTCCTCCTGGCCCTCTCAGGAGGACCCTAACCTTCCAGCTGTGAAGAGCTCCACGCGGTCAGGAACCTTCTCAGAATGTCACTCGGCCATCACAGCGCTTGGGGGGCCCGTCACCCATGGTGGCACTGCTGGCTTCGGCTTCTCCACCAGAGCAGGAGGGGCCGCCGGCTCCCGCCCACCCTCTGCTCTGACTCTGTGAGCACAGGGGCAGGACTTCTCACCTTTTCCTCAGAAATTCCATCGTGCGAAGCTCTCAGCCTGCCTTTCCAGTCTGAACACACTCTTTGGTGTTTGGCCCGGTCTTCCAAACTCTCAGCCCCCCTCTACCACTTAGAACCCAAACACTCCCCAACACATGGGCACCTGGAATGATGCTGGTGTGATTGGGGTTTTTTTCTTTAATGGAACTTTTTCTGAGACACACGTTGTCTTTGAGTTCACTGAGGTTTGAGGCACTGACGTTTTCTGGAGAGATGGGACCGGTATCAAGCTGACAGGTGCCTTCAGCTGGCAGGAAGGGCCTACCCAAGGGATGCAGACACTGTATCTTCCCCCTCAATCTAGTATCTGTGCAGTGTCTCCTGCGGTCACACGTGTTGGGGACGAGGACCAGAGGGTGCACACCTGTTAGGATGGCGTTTCAGTAATGGGGCTGAGAGGCCACAAGAGCCCGAGTGATGGTGGTGGGAACAGTCCGGCAGGGGTTGGGGGACACTGAGCATAGATGGCCTGAACCTGGCAGGGACAGGGGTTGAGTGACATTGGGGTGGAGGTGCGTGCTGGGCAGGGGTGCGGGTGCAGCCGAAGTCCAGGGAACAGCGGTGGGGTTGGAGCGGGCAGCAGGCTGTGCCACATGGAGAAAGAAGAAAGGGCAGCGGGCAGAGCTCCTCCGAGAAGAGAGGAAGAAGCAGGGGCCACAGGGCGGCAGGCAGAGAGGACGGGGGCTGCCCGCGGCCCGGTCTCCTGGCACCAGGGAGAAGTTAAGGGAAGTCGGTTAAGTCCACTGAGCTGGGCCGGGGTCCGCGGTGACAGGAGGGTCGTGGGGAGTCGGCTGCAAGGACACCCAGAATGAGGAAGATGAACCGGAAAGTACGGGCGCGCTTCTCAGAGAAGCTGGTGGTCAGGAGGGGGTCCTGATGCTCCCAGAGAACAGTAGGAAAGGAGGAAAGTGCGCTTTAGGGCGTGCGTATCTAAGCTGGATCGATGAGGTGATAATACACAGCTGGCGTGCAGACCACAGCCCTGAACGGGAACGAAAACATTCAGGTAGCAGGAAAGCAAATACTGAAATAGTCCATGGGAGGGTGTGATGCACGAGGAAGGCGTGTCAGTTACACGCGCTTTTTCCAGCCTATTAAGTTTTATGTCATGATTTATACTTTCTAAAAGTGCAATTTTAATACATTTCTAAAAAATCCTTGGACCCCTTATGCCATACCTGGTTCTCCATTAGGGCCAGGGGGTCCTATGTCACCAGAATCTCCTTTCTCACCTGGAAAAGAGAAGCAAGGCCAAAGTCACAAAGCAGGGGTGGGACGTGTCCCCTGAGTTCAAATGTCCAGGTAGCAATGTTCTTTCTTCCATGTGCAGTGCCCTGCGGTTCCTCCCAGACCCTCCTTCTGCGGTGAACTGGAGGGAGGAATGGTCTGTAGATGACTGATTCTTCAGGCTCTGTTTATGTGACGTGGGACATCCACATATCATGGGACTTCAGAGATTATCAGATGAGCGTTCTTTAAGTCAATTCTGGAAAACCCAGCATGTTTCCTAGAACACGCTATCACCTCGGAAATCCGTAACACCCAGTGCCAGTTCTCTCCATGTCCCACATCACAGCAAGAAAATTCAGGTAGAACAGGTAACGTCAGAGACGGATGGACCGTAGAGGTTCCCTCATCCAAACAGAGTCAAGATGAGAGCGGTCCTCCCTGTCCCTCTCTGAGAGGCAGCAAGGTGTCCCAGGGGCACAGCCACCAGGACACCTGGGCGCCAGCCTTCTGTGGACAGGACAGACGACTCAGCCACTCTGCCCCTCCGTTTCTTCCAACTTATGAAACAAAGGGATAGGAGGAAATCATGGCAACAAAGCTTTCTAGAAATTAGACAATGGCTATTTATTTTTAAATCACAGGAATATTCCTAAAGCACTACCTTTCTTCCCCCTGAGAGAACTTAAGCTTCTCGGCTGACCTGGGACAGTGAAGGGGCAGCGACTTCTACATCCTTGGAGAGTCATGTTCCGTTTGATGGGGATGGAGAGAGCTCGGCAGTCTCCGTCCAAGTGATTCCTTTTTTTTTCTTTTATCAACACCAGGAGCTTGGAAATGACTCAAGGATCAGCCTGACAAGGACCCAGGACGGCAGAGTCTCAGAGATGGAGCAGATCAGGTAAGCTAAGCCCAGTAAGGGCCTTCTTGGCAAGCTGTCCCCTGGTGAGACTCTGACATTTACCCAGAGCATATGCTGTATGTTAAAAGCACACACATCCCTATTTGTAGCCAGTATTCACTGCGTTCTTCACAGCAGCTAAAAGGTGGAAACAACCCCAGTGGCCGTCAGCAGATGAAGGGATAAATAAAACGTGGTCCATCCATGCAACGGAATATTATCCAGCCTTATATAAAGGACAGAAATTCTGACACCTGCTGCAACACAGATGAACCCTGGGAACATTATACCCAGTGAAACAAGACACAAGAGGACGAGTACTGTGCGATTCCATTTATATGGAATATCTAAACAGGCACGTTCACAGAGACAGACAGCAGGTTAGAGGCTGCTAGGGGCTGCAGGGGTGGGGCGTTACTACCTCACGAGGACAGAGTCTCTCTGGGGGAATGAAAACATTTTGGAAATGCATAGCGGTGGTGGTCCTACAACCTTGCAGTCGTGCTTAGTGTCACTGAATTACACTGAAAATAGTTAAAGTGACAAATTTTATGTTACAAATATATTACCACAATTTTTTAAAGCTTTTTCAAAGCTTCCGCATCCCTCTCTATATCACGCATCTCGATCTGTGTGCTCTGTAATGAATCCACGGGGCGGGTGTTGCCCACGGATCTGCCGGGAGGAGAGACGCAGCTCGCCGAGCTGGCCACACTCTTCGTCTCGGTCCTGGCTGAGGGACCCTTCCCACCAGGGACAGGCTGGGCCGGGGGAGGTCTGTGCCATTCGATCGGAACTGACCACCTGGACCCATCACAGCTCAAAGCCCCAGGCAGGGTGATGGAGCACAGGACTGCAGGCACCGCGCTGGGCAGAGCAGACCACAGCCAAACTCCCTCCCAGCCCCAAGCCCCCCAGCCTCTGTCTCCTGCTGCCAGCACCCATGACAGGACCTGGGGGAGCCCTTCACGGGGCTGAGGGGCCTCGCCTCCTCCACCCCGAGCCCTCTGGGGTCTAGCACGGGCGCAGGACAAGCCAGGGGCTCAGAAAGTATTTGCTGACTGAGTGCGGAATGGGGGGCGGGGGGGCGCAGAAGAGCCGGGCGATGCTGAGCGACCCCTTAACTGCCCTGGGGACAGTCTCCCGAGCTGCCCACCCTCCAGGGTTGTGCAGGTCAAACGGGGTCGCGTGGGCACTGGTGCTGCTCCCACGCTGCTGTCACCCTCCTGCCCCCCGTGCTTATGGGGAGCCACCCCCCAGTCTCAGAGAGTCTGAGTCACCCGAGCTGCAGGTGGACGGACAGTGTGTCGGGAACGCGGTCCTTCTGCTGCCTAAATGGGGCTCCTGATTCTCCCCCAGGCAGCATGTGAACCCTGAGGGGCAGGGAGCTCTCCCCACCTCGTGGCACCCAGTCAAGTCTGATCGATCCCAAAACGCAAACGCTGGAACACAGCTATCGTGTATAAAGCGCACAAAATAAACACGACCACCAGCTACTCTCTAAGCGCCCGGGAGGTGAGCCTGCGAGGGAACGTGAGCAGAGGTGTGTCGGAAGTACCTTTAGAACCAATGGGACCGATTTTTCCATGGCGCCCCACGCCGCCTTTCTGTCCTTTGTCACCCACGTCTCCTGTGGAAAACAATGAGATCACAGTTGGTCGAGGCACAGGTAATGCAGTACACCTCCCGTGTATCAGCCCACGTGAACACGCATGCACACACACACGAGGAGACCGAACACGTTACAACTCTTGTTTAACCTCTCCAAGGTCGTGTATCCGACTGACCCCAGAAGGCTCTACATGTCACCTGCTGATGTATTTCCCAAAGGAAGACACACACCCCTAAAGTCACACACACTACGGAACAGAGGAGGCCACACGGTACATCCCCATGTCCTCAACTCAACCGAGCGCCTTAGACTGAGCGCTTCCGGCCAGCAAGCAAGTCCTAGTTCTGTGATGTTCCCACAGCTCAGGCCAGGTCGAGGTCAGAGGACAGAACACAGGCTGAGGGGTGAACCACAGCAGAGATGCAGACACCCCACCAAAGCCGGCTCACGTTCGCACAAGGGTGAAGTGTCTGGCACAGAGCACGCGCACACATGTTCTCTTATTTGGTTACAGGAGGGATTCATCGCGCAGATGGGGTTCACGGGGGTTCAGCACTTGCCCGGGTCAAGTACCTGGTCCCGCCATGAGGTGACTCCTGCCCCGGACACCGTGTACAGTGTGTGATGCTGGGGACACAGGAGTGACAGGGCTCAGGGTCTGCGGGGGGGTCGGGGAGATAAGTGGCCAGTGGTAACTCACACAACTAGTATTGTAACAGGAGATGCCTGGGGCTCTGAGGAGGCATCCGGGAGCTGGGGAGAAGACAGCCACCAGCCAGGACCACATCACCATGCCTCTGGTCACACGTGGACGAGGCCTGGACAGGGACGAGGCAGGCACCGCAGGAGGCGGCCCAGGGGAGTGGTGTCAGGAGGGTAGGGAGAAATTCCCAGACTAAGAAATGTCTGGGAGGCAGAGACTTAGTAAATATTCACTCTGAGGATATGGTGAGGGCTTCACTTTATTGCTGGAAGAGGAACAAGCTACTCAGCTCTTGGGCCAGACAGGGCCACAGCGGCCCCGACAGCCACGCCCCTGGGGCTCTAAGTGAACCCCCCAGCACAGCCGTCCTGAGGCAGCTCCAGCCACAGAAAAGTGTTCCTTTGTTGACTTGCAGGAGCTTGAAAGGCGCCACCTGCTCCTTCCACCCAGCAGTCCTGGTTTTGCAGCCAGAGAGATGCACGGCTATTCTAATCCGCCGTCCACAGACAGTCCTTCAAACATCTACTGTTTTCTCCCTGAAATCTTCCCCTCAGCTTCCCCACCCTGTCTGTGCTCCCATACAGGAGCACCAGCCCCCAAGCAGGCCTGACCACTGTCCCCGCCTGCTGGGGACTGAAGTGCCCCCCAGATTCATATGCTGAAGCCCTGACCCCCATGTGATGCATCTGGAGGGGGTCAGGGTCAGAGGAGGTCACGGGGTGGGATGCATCCCCTGATGAGAGGATGAACAGCCTGGAATCCTCTCTCTCCACCATCTGTGGACACGGCCAGAAGTCGGCCGTCTGCAGGCCAGGAAGCGGATCCTCCCCAGACCCCAACCATGCAGACAGCCTGCTCCGGGACCCCTGCCTCCAGAACCGTGCGAGATCAGTGTCAGGGGCTTAAGCCCCTGTGTCTGTGGTGTTTGGCTATGGCCCCCGAGCCACTTGTCTGGACACCCTGGTCCCTTGTCTGGACCCTCTAGTCCATTAGTGTGGTCTGAGCTCAAAGATGACCACAGACACCCTGCTCAGCCTCCTGCAAAGTGTTCCAGAGCAAAGCCCCTGTCCCTGGAGTGCGCACTCAGCTACTGCCGTTGTTCCAGGGCCTCGGCCGCCACCCTCCTTCCGGACACCTTTTCTTCAAAAGGCCAACGTTCCCTTCCCTATAACTCTCCGTTGTGCCCCTCCTGAGGTCCTGGGGTCAACGTGAGCCCTGGGGAAGCTGGGCTGAGCCGGATAAGTGTCGAGATGACCTCCGTGCTCATGCTTTTTACTTTCACATCTCGCCAAATCACGGGGGGGTTTGGCTTGTTTTCACGCTGTCTCAGCAGGGTCTGCTGGGACACTTGCCATGGCGTCCTTACGGGGACGCGCAGGCCTGATAGACTGGATTAAGCTCGGGCTCCATCAGGCAGTCCCAGGGAGAGAGTGCCCAGGGCAGGAGGAGGTCTCAGAGACCCCCAACCCAACCATATCTTCAGGCAGGAAGGCACCTACAGTAATGCACCTACAGTCATGAGTCGGGTGGATGGTCCCCAGCACGTGGATCCCACTGAACTCCCACTGGAGAGGGGCAGGGTCGCCAGAGTCTGGAGAGCGGCTTCCTGCCTGGGGAACACGCCTCCTCGTTCAGAAGACCCGACACCGCAGAGGAGTCTGGTCCACGTTTTAATGGGCAGATTGGGGCAGACTGGGTGTGAGTGCAAACCCATCCCCTGAAGAGTCTGTTGTTTGCTAAGATTCCACCTAGAAAAGGTGAGGACAGAGTGTGGGCCTCCTGCCAACCTTGGGGTCACTTCTCCCCAAGACCCCTCCCTGCAGAGGGGAACTCAAAACAACACCTGCCACCCCTCTGCTCCCACCCAGACGGCTCCTGCTGCCCCTAGCAGACAGGGAGAGGGTAAGGAGGCTTGGACGAGCACACTGGAGGGGGAAACACCTGCAATCAAGAACAATGGCGAAAGCGCTGCCCCCTCCCCCACTCCCCGACCCCACGCGAAACCTCTGGGCTTAGCAGACGATTAACTCATGACTCACTGCTGAAGGATGCTGCTGAAGGATGCCGTCAGGGTCTAGCTCACATCCCGCTGTGGTAAATGAGTCAACCTGAGGGTGACTGGAGAGCCCTCGGCTTTCAGCCCGTCTCTCAATTGCACAGCCGAACTTCACCACTAATTCAAGCTTGCTGCTGACACGTGGCACCTGCCCCCAGCAGGTACTGAGCCCAGCTCCCGCCCTTGGAGGGGTGTGGGACCCGGCCCCTGCCGTAGGGGGCTCTGAGAAACCAGGCACACGTATAGAAAATCAATCGGATGCCAGCAGCTCACGGGGCAGGGGGATGGGGGCAGGCGGCGAGCCCAAGCCCAAGGCGGGGAATGAAGGCGCTGCAGGTCTGCAAACCTCAGGGTGGGAGTCCCCTGGGGGCTCGTCACCACTGATGGCCGGGCCCGCCCCGGGGGGGGGGGATTCCACAGGTCCGGGTGGGGCATCCCCGTCGAGCTCCCGGAGTGTTGCGGATGCCGCTGCTTCCTGAACCGGGCTTGGAGACCCCTGCGGTTTGCGGTGACGTGAGAAGGCTGGAGCTGCAGGAGGTCGCCCATGCAGGCCAAGGCTGGGGGTCAGGCAGCCCCAGGTCTGTGCTCTACCTTCGAGGCTGAGTCTCCCTGCGCCTCAGTTTTCTCTCTGCAGAGTGGTGTCCTGTAATAACAGCTCCTCTTGTGTGTGAGACTCCAGGCCCGCAGCGCCGTGTGCACAAGGCTTGGAGCTCGGGCCCTGCGGCCCAGCTGATTCTCCCCGTCACTCAGCTGTGCCATCTCTGTGCGTTTCTGACCTACATAATGGGGCTAATAACAGCCATAGTAGAGCCATCTCACGGGGCTGAGGGAAACGCGAGCACCGTCGGGTACGGCATCTGGCACGCGGCAGGTGGGCCTAAGTGTTGGCCACTATGACTGTCATTTGGAGGCAGAAGCTCCGAGCTGGGACACTGCTTCCTCAAGAGCGACCCATGTCCCCCATGACCCCCCTGGATCTGCACAAGCAGAGCCTCAGGCCCCACCAGCTCAAGCACCGAAATCTGCATTTTAACACATCCCTGGGTGATTCCAGGGGCCCCAAAGCTGGAGCAGGGCTGGACCAGACCCCGCAGGCAGCCCTCTTTGGAGGCTGGTTGAGATTCCATGGTAACCCACTGCTTGCTGCTGCCAGGAGCAAACTGGAGCTAGCAATAGAGGTGCTTGCAATCTGGGGCAGTTCTGCTCGTTTCTCCAACTTTCAGAGATAAATTAGAATACTTCCAGGTACACTGTGTGCCAGGAAAGCCTGTCCACATGTACTGATGGATCTCAACCTCACAGTGTTATTGCCATTACCACCTGGCATGGGCTGAATTGTGTGTCCTCCAAAATTCTTATGTTGAAGCCCTAACCCCCAATGTGACCATATTTGGAGATGGCCTTTCAAGAGGTGATTAAGGTTAAATGGGGTCAGAAAGGTGAGGGCCTAATCCGATAGGACTGGTGTCCCTGGAAGAAGAAGACACACCCAGTGAGCCACACACAGAGGAAAGGCCTCGTGAGGACACAGGGAGAAGGCGGCCATCTGCACCCCACGGAGAGAGGCCTCAGGGAAGCCAGCCCTGCAGACACCACGGTCTCTGACTTCCAGCCTCCAGGGCTGAGAGAATAAACATCTGCCGCGTTTGCTACAGCAGCCGCAGCTGACTGGTACGCTTTCCCTCTGCCCCAGAAGCGAAAGTGGAATCAGACGGGTGGTGCCGCCCACCACCAGTCATGCCACTAGTGCAACTGGTGTCCAGTGATCCAGGGCGCAGCCTGCAATCGGGCAGACCAGGCCCGGGTCCCGGCCCCCAACCCGCGCAGCCTGGGGTGGGTCACAGCCCTCAGAGCCTCGGCTTCCTCACCTGCAAGGTGGCATTACCCTCAGGCCACTGAGCACAGGACATCGGCCCAGGTCTCCTGGCCACACCCAGGGCCCCGAGCCCTCACCTCAGCTGTGGGGCAGCGGCCTGGTCCCCACAGACCCAGCCACAAGCCAAGGCTGCACTTCGAGGGACTGGGCCTGAGGGCATGCTGCAGGCTCGTGGGAGACAAACAACCCTCCCCAGGGCCCAGAAGGTGGGAACTAGGAAACCAGAGAGAGCAGAGCCGACACCCAGCCTCCCGTGGTGCCGGCTCACCTGTGAGGAGCCGCTCAGGGGCCAGGCCTCACCTGTCCCTGTTCAGCCCTGCATCCTCGGGGCCCACGGCCCAGGCCCTCGGACCAGAGGAGACCTGGTTCGCGACACCCCCTGA